GTTTGACAGGAGTCAACATTTTGTGAGGTAATTATTTTGAATAATAAATATGAGTACCAGGTCGCAACGTTTCAAAAATAATAATAATTATTTATTTACGTATCAATAATCTCCATATATTAATTTGCAATACGTTTCACACAATCATGATCATTTTCAACTTTATATTACGAAAATATGTGTATACGGTGTATACGGATTGCACAATACTTAATGGAACGTTTTTCATACTTCGTACTTAAATATTTATATCACGTTCTTATATAAATTCTCGTCACTTTTTATGTCCCCAAATAACCGACTGGCACAAAGCCACAGTAGGAGGCGCAATCTTACTTACAATATTGTATTCAAAACATTATACCATGTGATCTGGTACAAAATTGTATTATTTTTACAGAAAAGAAGTTTATGAAATCTTATTTCAGTTAGTCGGTAAATACTATTCCAGTAAACTATATTTCATGATGATCTATGGTCCTTGTTAACAAGACACTTTCTCAACTAAAGACCTTCAATTAAAATTGTTATATGATGAAAAGATCTTTAAAATATATTTGGATAGAAATTACATATTTTAGGTAATCTTAATGTTTTATTTAAGCTTCACAATAAAAGAGGATATTGCCAAAAAGTAGTGATTTCAGTGACGTCCTCTGAAAGAGACCTACAATCAGAAAAGGACTGGTTACGGTTGGTGACGATAATGATATTGATGCTCATGATAAAATAAAATAATAACTTTTTATTAACTTCATTGTGTTAAAATAATATTTAACTAAATTTTAATTCAAAGCACTTTATTTTTGTAAAATACAAAATATCGTCGACTATCGATCTGTTTTGTTGGGACTAATATCAAGGTTTAAGAACACCAAGGGAATTAGTAATTCCTGCTCTGACATTTAAGAGGATTGTGAAATGATGAGGGTATATTTGAGCGCGATAGTGTTGTCAAAACGGGCTCTAAATCGAGCAAAACATTATTGTGTGTACAAACATTTCTAGATTTGTCAACCATTAGGGTTTTACACATGTGTAAGGTGATTTATGATGCAGCTAATAGTTAAGGATGGGCGAATTGATATTAACGACCAAAAATGTTGAATTAGATATATATTTTGCACTTAAGCTTTTTGGTTCTTCATTGTAACCTAAAATAACATATCTCGATAAACATGTAAAGTGTTTCAGTCAATGTTACTTAAGAATAATAAATATATTTTTGCAGTATTCATTAAATAACATATTATAAAATTATGATATAGTTTACCACCAGTGTCTAAAAAGGTTAGTTATACACATTATACAGAGCTATTTAAAGATATAAGATCGGATCAAAGTAGTATTTCACGTGTTTGAAAACCATCAATTATTCAATATCGGTCAAAGCACGCCTTTGTCGTTTCATAAACGTCGCCGAGCCGTAAAATTTGAGTTATACTTTTTTGTCCTTCGAATAATTAAACTTAACGATCAAACAAAAACTTTTAATATACGTATAATATGTATATATAATATATGTATAACCAGAATATGAAAACAATCTGAACAACGTTAATAAATGGAAAATTTTTATAGATGCAAATTATCAACGTAAATTATTATCAAATGTCTAAAAGAACGATTTATATACGAGATACCACAGCGGAGTTATTGAAATATATGTCCCTAAAGACAATACGTAGCCTGATAGTATTTTCATTCGAGATTAAACTTTACGAAGTGGAAAAAAGAGCACAATTGTATTAAATCCGTAACATGCAAAAACAACAACAGTAGATATTACGGTTAAATTCAAATAAAACGCAAAACAAAATCAGAATGAGTCGTTCCACGATGTAGCATAAATCCACCGAATAGCATTTGCATGCAAGGAAGACCATTCATCCTCGTATCGGTTGAATTATCTGGAAGACATTATTATAGATTGTGTCTTTACTTACCTCGGCAAGTCAACGATACATTTCAATATACAGAGAAACTAACAACTGAAAATCCCATTAGAACTTTTGCAATATCATCTGGTTGTCATTGGTTTTTTTATGGTTATTTATATTGATCTTAGCATACATTTGTTTAAACTGTAAGGGTGGTAAGTGCACATAATTATTTTATAATTTATGATTATAATGTTTTCTACTTCTGTAATTTTACGAATGTTAAAAAACGAGAAAATATTAAATTAAAATAAATAATCATTAAAGCTGCTCGTTTTTGCGTAGTTAATTAAAATAGTGCTACGTATATTTGCATTTCTTGGGTATGCATTAATTTTTCTCAAAATGAAAAATCCAATACCTCGCTTATCATGTGATAATCATTGAAAGGTTGTTTTATGGGAACTGAGCAGATTCAATAATTCTTTTAAATTGCATTGATATGAAAACAGAACTTCATTCGTATTATGTTTATCATAAATCACTGAGGATCTCATGTGACAGGCTTATCGCATTGAAATCGTGATGGAAAGCGTTGGACGTGTGATATATTCCTGATAGAATATTTTATACGTGATGTCTCATCGTTCATACATGCAATAACAGTTTCTGTTCTCTATCAATAGGAAGGGAAAGCGAGAGATATATCCAATTTGTACCGACATAAATCAAAGTAAAATTGTATTTTACTATTTTTTTGTATAGCTGTTTATTTAATCTTCTAAAATCGTTTACCTTTAAATATTTTGGCTCTTTTATTCGTACTAAATTCCTTATTTATAAAACACTATCGGTTGAAATTCACATAACATCATTTAAATACATACATATAATATTCGGTAATTTTGTTCATATTGCCACGGTTGAAACTCAAAAATTTATACCAACAGTAAAGTAAAAAAACGAATTAATGCTCAACGAGACTAGTTATTTTATTGATTCCACTGAGACAACTAAAAAGATAAATATTTTTAGAATATTCTCGAAACCTGGAATCTGGAAATGTCTATTTTTAAAAATTACAAAGAGTCGGGAATTCAAACGTGAAATATCTTTTGCGGTGGTGTAGGGAAATATATTAATGTGTTTAAATATATGCCTTGCTTGATAAAAATACTTATTAGCGTCCCTGTGGGTGGCATAAAATAAGGAATCGAATTAGATTCGTAGAAAAAAAAAACGTAAGAGTTATACCGCCATCATTTCATTACAAAGGCTCTAAAATAAATATGGAGCAGTGATTATTTGCATAAAAATGTAAACATAAAATAAACTAGTTTAAATATGAACATAAATTTAATCAATCAACATTCAAAAAATTTTATTATTTCCGTAATAATTTTCCTGACTAACAGAAATTTACCTCATACGAACGAAATCCAGTTTTCATTATTTTTTTCCACTTTTAAAAGAGGCGTTATTTCAAGATAATTTGAAATATGTTCTTATTGACCAAAACTGGATATTTATGGATATAAATACTATATATATTTATGGATATACACTGGATATAAATGAAACCTTATTAATAGCAAGATAAATTACTATCGATGAGAATAAATTTAAACATATTTTTATAATTATTAAGTCTCTTTAACATCATTCGATTTTTTTGTCTCGGAAGAACATAATACAATATCGTATTACTTTGATTAATATATACAGTATATATTTAAAAACCTTGTAATCTAGTCACTTGGTCTCTAACATTTTTTTGTGCTAAAGAGGCCAATGTTAAAGACGACATTAATATTTCTGATTTGGTGTATCAAGCGGTACATCACCTTGTCTGTCTAAAAATGCTATTCCCAAAGGTATATAATCAATTCCTTTATTCTTTCTACACAGACGTCTAATATTGTTCCACAGATTGCCAAGACTTTATTTGAATAATATTTTTTGAGTAATAAAACTCACTAAAATATATTTATCAAAAAAATAATTGTTATAATTAATATATTCATTTGTTAAAATTATAAATTTCAATTGAATCTGTAAATACCACTCTTATTAATTTATTATTTACATAAAAATATGACCATTTATATATTCTGAAATAAAGTCTTGTATATGTCTGAGTTATTTAAATGAAAAACAACATTATTACAGAACGGTTATGTTAGCTAATTATTAACTATCTTTTGAAGTCACATGAATTATTATAACTCACCATAGTTTTTATTCGTTTTGCCTTCTATGGGAACAAGACAGTTACTACTTGACAAAGAAACTATATTATTATGCTGACTTTCTGAGGTTATTGCTAGAAACTCGTCATCTAATGACCTGAACTGATATAAGACGGTGGGTAACATGGAGCTCTGTTTTAACTTGATTCATGATTTGATGACATTAGTCGTAGAAAAGGTATTTTTTTATGTGAAAGGTGGCAAACGAACAGACGGCCTACTTGATGTTCAGTAGTGAACGTCGCCCATGGACATCCACAACAGAGATGTTGCGGATGCGTTGCCAATCTCTGTTTTTTAGGAAAAGGAAAGGGTGGGAATAAGGGAATGTCAGGAAAAGGTGGGAATAGGGTAAGGGCAACCGGCTCTCCCACTCACCGGACGAAACGCAACCATTAAAGGCTACTACACGCCGATCTTCTGTGAGAGGTTGGTACTTCCCCGGTCGAGCCAGCCCATGTTCGAGCTGTAGTACCTGACCACAGCTAGGCGCTACCACCTCTAAGAAGGTAAAAAAAGTAATTTTTGTCACAGGAGCAAATGTTTATTGTAGTTTTTATAATATGCAGTGACACACGAAAAGTTGCGGACTATATAAATATTTTAAAATATGGTTTTACTTTTTCTTTAATTGAAAAGTTATAACATTGTCATGTAAACAGTTATTCATAATTTATTCACACTATTAAAAATCAAGCTTTTCTTTTAAAATATTTTTTAAAATCTTTGAACCAGGAATCAAACATTTCTGAACGAATGGTTGTTTTTCCATGTCCATAAACCAATTATTTAAGTTGGGAAACCTAAAACATTTACAAAATATGTTAAAATTTTTAGCCAACTATCTTAATTTATTGATTGATTGATTTGCTTACTGTTTTGGATCAATGGCAATTATATGCCGCAGGCCTGATACGGTCGCAACAATGGCTATATCTGCAAGAGTCATCCTATCTCCAGCCACAAATTTTAAGTTACTGAGAAATGCCTCAAGATAACCATATGCTTCTTCCACTTCTTTCAGCATTTTTTCAGATGGTTTTCGTACTCCTTCTATTATTGCTGCGTACTTAAACAAAAACTCAAATATATACAACTTACCTCCGATATTTACTTAACTAATCAATAAATTTAATGAGATCGAAGATTCTTGCGAGTACTCATTTAAATGAAACTAATATTTTCCGATTTACAACGCGATTTTTTATTTTTTAATCAACTACATAATGCTGACGTTATATCACGGGCATATGAGATGTGACTCAAATCTCTTCTGCCCGTGATCACGGTTGCTGTAAAGTAACGGAAACGTAGGCTGTACATTATTAAAAAATAAAAAATCGCGTAGTAAATCCGAAAAGAATTGTTTCATTTAATCAATAAAATTTTTAATCGCATGAAAAATTATATATTTTTTCTTTCTTTTCGTTTAACCATACTTACAGTAATGTTACGCAATCTTGTGAATAAAAGGGTGTTAAAAAACAATTTCTGATCTACTAATGCCCTCTGCTTTACATCTTTTGGATACAAAGAGTCATTTTTACCATACATTTCATTAATGTATGTAAGAATAGCGTTACTGCAAGGAAAAATATCATAATATTATTACTTTTACAGTGTAAACATCATGTCCTCGATACTTTTAAGCACAATCCTCTCCATTAATTTCTGGTGTAACAATTTAGTTATTCTTAATGTACCTATCATGTAAGATGAGATTTCCATCTTCTAATACAGGAACGGTATGCATCGGATTTTTCTGAAAAAAGTGTAAGACTTATTAAAACTTTGAATTTCAATAGTTGGTCAATTTTTTTACAGTAAAATTAGTCTTTTATAATAAAAATATATAAAAGAGTTTTTATGTTATGTGTTATGTGTATAGTATCGTGAGACCATGTCTTGACAAATCACATGTTAACTAAATAAACTATTTAGGTAACGTGAAAGTTCTCCTATTGAAGTTTAAGCTAATGATTCATGATCAAGATTAGTAATATTTGAGATAAGATAATCGTTGAGAAAAAATATATATTTTTGTATTGTAATTGGCTTTTTTAATCTCAGTGCTAAGTTCGTTGTGCTAACGCTATTTACCTCCTACAATTTTTCAAGTGATACAAGAAAGGACATGGCTAATTTATCAGAGTTTTAAATTAGATAATATATTTAAGTAAAAATATTTTTTCAGACAAACATGCTAAAACTATCGTTATGGGTAAATTTATGTCTTTTATGTGGAACTTGTTGGACTAAACCAAAAATTATAAATTTAAAAGATTTAAACAATGTTTTGAAGATCATAAAATTTAAATTTTATTTCCGAAGTACATAAAAATAAATAAAGATATTGCTAAGTGTATAACATGACAAATTCTCAACCTATTTATTAGTATGTGCCTTAAGGTTCGCTGAATGTTTTAATGCTTAAAAAAATTAAAATAAATGACTCAGGCCATCGTAAAACCAATATTGTTTTAAAAATAAAAATCCAATATAAAATTTACATTCAAGATAATTAGACTGTTTGAATTTAATTTTAACATGTAAAAGTAAGCATGCATTGTACTGTTTATGCAACGTTAATCCATGCTTTTTTATGGACAGTTCTATGTTGTCTGCTCCCGCGTTGGGAAGCCATTAGGCATTTAGGCACCAAACAAAAAATATTGTATACCATAAAACATTAAAATTAGCATCATCAAGTTTACAACTACAAAATGAAAAACTTATTTTTTTAGCGTTTACTCTTAATTTTGGACATAACCAAGTTTACCGCGGTAGTATGTCATTAATAAAAACCCAGTTGAAAAGTAATGAATTGAATAAAGGGAGTCGATAAAGTTTATTTTGACGCTTTTAACGGATTTTGGGTACCGTTACCACCACCGACAGAATGGAAATCAAATTTATAACCTGTACTCCAAAATCTCATATCCATATAAATTATATCAAGATGATAAACTGAAAGATCGCGAGCTATTAGGAATTTCACGGGTAAAGGCATCATCAAAAAATCTCGATCCCAATTGTTCCCCATAATTCTGGCGAAGAAAAAATAACACGGACTGCATGTGCAATTAGACATATGTAAAACCTTTGTACTCATCGGCAATATTCCTATAAATACCGCGACAATGTCGGGATTGATGTGACCGTGAGATTGCAAGCAGTCCTTAGACAGAAAGCGCAAACTGCGTTTCAGACGTTTGGTATTAGTTTTTGTTATGTTAAAAACTTCGAAAACTGTTCAGAAAGCTTTTAAATACTGTTACAATTATAGTGTTTACATTTCCGAAATTGAAAGGTGTCACTGGTAAGATTTGACAACAGTGGGAATTTTAAAAATTATTCATTTTTGCATCCTGATTCCGACCTAATTTTTTGGGGTTGGCAAATTTAACAACATACACTCAAAGAATGAGTATTAATTCCCATTTGATACAACACAAAACTTTGAATTCTGTGTATAGACTTATTTGTAAGCAAAGTAATAAAAAAATAAGTTAATTTTACATATGTCGAAGTTTAAAGATTTTTATGTATTATTATATACATATGTAAAATTCAAATAGATGCACTCACAATACTGAATGAGAATTTTGACAAGTTCTATTTTTTTGCCATAATACTCAAAGCAAAAATTATAGCATAACGATGATTAAAAATAGTCTTTTTATGCCTCCACTACGCGGTTACTTACGTCTTTAGACGAAGAAATCCTATAATTATGATAGAACTTCATTTTAGTTAAGCTCATGTAGTCATAAAATATATATGAGTCTAGAAACTTTGAAAGTAATATTTATGTATGATGATTATAATTAAACTTTTATTATAACATTTAACATTATAACAATAAATAATAAAACTGTCATAAAATTATCGCAAAAAATATCGTGTTTGAACGATTACAACGCTGATAATTTGTATCTGCTTTGACCTCGGTTTATCTTATATCGTCATTGAATGATAAATGTCTGCTAATTATATATATAAAACAACTATTAAATAACAATTTTATCAACATCAACTATTAGGTGTCTAAGTAATTACAACTCAAAGCATAAAATAATAAAGTAGATATTACTTTATAATAGAAGATACTTTGTGACGTCACCTTTAAAAATTCCGGTGTGTAGTGCTCACGTTTCATAAGATCAACATCAATCATCTCAACAGGGACATTATGAATTTCGCAAATCATCATAGCAGCGCAGGCTGGAGGACTCAAGTTCATTTTATATAGTTTTACCGGCATCTGAAATTGGTACGATGAGGCATAAGTTTTAAAATTAAATATCGATTCAAACTTAACAAAGTGAAGATTATATTATACATGTATTAAAACTTCAATTTTCCGTTTATTTCCTTAAAATGAACTAGCAACATATTGAGAGATTAACAAACAATTGAACAATTATGTTTTTTTTGTACCAGAGGTTATAAAAAACCATAATTGTTAACTTTATAATTTCGAAGATTTTTGTGAGATGATTTGTTTTAATCTTTTATTAACTTTCATTTTCTACATTGAAATAAGAATGTATATTGTAGGTGATACTGTTTTTATTAGTTAGTATGTATAAATTTAATTTTTTTTAGATTTACGTATATAGAAAAGTTAAGCATAAAAACTCCATAAACAACCCTTATCTATTTATAAACATACGGTACACTATAGTAAACTGTTACGCTGCGAATTCTATCACCTGAACTTGTGAATTCCTTAAAAAAAGAAACGATTAATATGTACTTACTTAAAATATAGGTTTGGTAACCAACTAGCAGTCTCATCTATGTATTTCAAGTCAATTTATACAAGATAAAACTGTCATACCCCGGTCCCGCGGGAACAACCACAGTAGCGAAATAAATTACGGCTCACTTATTTTTGTAATGTATGACTTACATTATAATTAAGTTTAATTTAAACCGTTCGGTACTTTTTAAGTAAAATAGAATCCATCCTTTAGAATAGTAAAATATTCCCTTTAATAATATCGGTGGGATTGTAATTTTTTAACAAAGTACTTAAAATGCGTACTGAAAGTGTTTCTTGTCCCATTATTACTTTTCTCAAATGGTAGGGTATTTGTTATAAAATTTTCCTAATATTGTATATTATACTAAACAATGGAAAAAAATATGTAATTTTTAATTGCATTTTTAAATTTATATAACAAGTTATTAGTCTATCTACACATATTTATAAACAGTGTGATACAATATACTTACTGTGACAATATTCTGATTCACTGTTAACACAACTTTACTGCGAGGACCTTCGCTCGTAAATGATAAATAAAATTGACATTCATATTGTCAACAATGACAAAACGTTTCTTATCCCATTATGATACAAGAATAAATGTGTATTAAATAATCGTGTTTAGTCAAGTTTTGCATCAACGTCTCTAATTTATATCATTATATTTATTATACGAATACGATACATACATATACATTTATTTGAATAACAATTAGTACTAATTTTTAAAATAAAATAATTAAGTATGTAGGTGACCTTGCTGGTTATAACAAACACGCAGAGTACACCAGATTCTGAAGAAAACCGTATTGCAGAGTAGATCTCTCTTTACCGTATGAGATAATAAAGCAGTAGTTTTCGCCAAAAAAGTTATTTAGAACATATAGAAATCTCTATTAGGGTTTAAACGATATAAAAAAAATTACGGTACTACTTTTACTAAGTAAACTTTTGCGTGTCGTTACTATAGAAATTTTAATTATCCAAATATGAAAAGACCACAAGAACATTTATCCTTATCCAAGAATACAAACTATATCGAGGAAGAAGTTGTTGTTTAAATTATCACGACATTCTCGCCAATAAAAGAGTATATACTAAATTTTTCCTCGGCTTTTCTCTTAAGATCATCTCAGAATCATCGTCTCTCCGGATGAGACTAAATATTTATTTAAACATCGGAAAGCTATGCAAAGTTATTGGAAATAATATACAAGTACAAACCTAGTCCTTTTTAATTTCGTTCAAATGTAAATAAAATTATAATTAGCTTTTTTAGACTTCAAAAAACTTATCATGTTTTATAAGGTATTTACTTTTAGTAAAATCCAACAGCCTCAGCAAGAGTTTAGCTGATTTTTTTAAATTAAAACCATTGTATAACGTTTAAAGTGTCGTTTCAATCAATAAACCTTGTAAACATCACGATATGTAAAATTAGGTCGTCATGGTCAATGCACTTTTTATTCTGTGAACCGTATGAAAACGGCTCTATTCATTTTATATGTTTTTCATTGAATACTGAACTTTAAAAGTTTGAATGGATGAGTTTGTGCTGTGATATCATAAAATTAATTGGAATGAACAGTGTTAAAAATAGTTAAATCAATCCCTACTAATATTATAAATGCGAAAGTAGCTTTGTCTGTCTGTCTATTACGCTTTCACGCCTAAACCACGAAACTAATTTTAATGAAATTTAGTACAGAGATAGAGTTGACCTTGATACAGAACATAGAATAGTTTTTATTCCAGAATTTTGAAAGGTTCTCTTGGCAACGTGATATAACCGAACTCCACGCGGGTGAAGCTGCGGGCGGAAAGCTAGATATGACATAAATAATATTTCACTGATTCTTAAATTACATAAGATTGCTTAAAAAGATAAATATACCGTAGTAACTTATAAAGAAATAAGTAGTTTTGGCCCCCCTCTTGTTAATAAGTACACATAGTACACTAAAAACAGTCCTCTGCTTTATATAAATTCGGCAGGCATTCCTAAAGCCCAGGGCCATTATGAGGTTACTTTACGAAATGATATAGAGCCTGCAAAAGGCAGGTGTTGGAAGCTGTTAATGAGTGTTAAAATTTTCTAAACATTATATACCTTATTATTATGTTAAGAGATCCTACTAATAAGTAAATGAGAATCTCCTTTTAAGCAACTTAATTTCGTCCTATACGTCGAAACCATTTAATTTTATAACACTCAAAAATGTATTATTTCTTAAAACATTTTTTAATTAGGTTGCCCGTTTTAATTATTTCCGGTGTATAGTAGAATTTTCAATGAAGCTCGTTACATTATAACTATTTCTTCGGTACCTCTATCGCTTTCTGAGAAGTGTGAAATATTGATTTTGTCTAGAACACTATTGCAACTGAAAATAAAATTAGATTATTTTTACATTTTTGTAGCCTAACCGGACGTCTTGGTTAAAAGAATCTATATATGTGATTAGTTGGTTTGTGCATGCTTCAAAAAATCAAAATGTTCTGTACCGATTCAGCTGAAATTTTTACACAATACACATTTCAGGATTGTTTTTATCTATTTTTCAAGATATTAACATTAACATACTAGCATTCAAGATATTAATATTAACATTAACAAGATGTTACTATTAACATACCAGCCATTAACCAGCTATAACGCTGTAACGGCTCACAACTCGCCATAAAAAAAATTGTTGAATATAGTGGAAGCAACGATTTTAATGGGGACTCTCAAATGTGAAGATGTCCTCATTCCTCGAATTCCCATAATTTCAACCGATTTCAGTACAAAACGTCGCAATTCCCACTTAAACTGGCGTTCGCAGTCACAATGACCAAGGCTCAAGGTCAATTTAAAAAAAAGTGTGGTTTGGATTTGGATGTGAATTACTTTTCACATGAAATTTTGTGTGTGACGTGTTCCCGTGTTAGAAAATCAGATAGCCTATATATCTACCCAAACAATGGGAAAACAAAAAATATTGTATACCCACAAGTATTGAAAACATAAACTTCAATATAATGTTTGCAGTCTTGTTGCTCATTACTCACCCATGCAACCATAGCGAAGCGTGGCACAGAGCACAACTCTTTAATATCGACATATATAAGAGTATACTACTCTAATATACATTATAAAAATCAAATTATAAATATATATGTACATGTTATCAAAAACATTTTTATAACTGAGAACATGTTTTTCTGAGTGTGAATATTTTAAAATATGAGTTTATTCTCAGAAGGTATTTTAATGACAAATATTTAATTTCTAATATTAAGTTTTTTGGTTTTGACAAAAATATTATTTAACCTTTTTGGTTTTCTTTCTAATTAAATTTTAAGATTTATTAGTTTTATAATTTTAGTTAATTAATCGTTATATAGTTGTAGATTATTGCATTACCATCAGAAAATTTCAAAACCTAATGAAAGAGTAACATTTCTGCGTGTAAAAATTTATTCATATTTTTGGTAACGCTTTTCTATGTTATCAAAAGTACATAGTTAGTACGTTCACAAAATAGTCTTACGAATCTCCAATATATAAAGAATATCAAATATATTGTAAGAAAGAGACTCGAGGATTTGCATAACAAAGGCTTGTGTTAAATTTTGCATATTTATCGATTTTCGTTGTATGCATACAGCTTTGTTCTATTTGAAATTTTATCTAAATAAGAGAAGTTATGTGTCGTAAGTATCAGTATTACAATAGGTTGTTTTAAGCAGTGAAAAGCTAAAGAGTCAAATATATAAAAAAATATAATCTAAAAGGTATTATATTATATTGTCTGCATTAAACAGTATTATATTATATTGTCTGCATTAGTCAGTGGTGGCTCAGTGGTTAAAGGGCCCGCCTCTCGTCGCTGAAGGCGCGGGTTCGATCCTGGCCCGGGCAAGTACCAATATGATTTTTCCGAGTCATATGTACTTTCTAAGAGTATTTAGACATCACTGATTTAATGTTGATTCCCAAAAGAGGGTTGATGTCAGGCAGGCGGCCGGTCGTAAAAACAAATACATACCCAAAAAACTATTCACAACATGTAAGGCAGACCCTGGCTATAGCTGGGAAAATTGCCAGGTAGAAGAAGATTGTCTGCATTAAACAAAAACTTGTGGCGAAAAATAATACATAGTTAAACTATAATATGATTTGCCTTTTAGAATTATAGAAATAAATTTTTGGGTTACAGAAATTACATTTATAATTTGTGATTAATGTATATTTTTTAAATGTACTTTACAGTAATATAAAATAATTATTGTTATTTTTTACACGTATAAGATGAAGGAAATGAAAGCTTTCCTAGCCTTCTTTATCATTGTTAAGCTGAATGAGTGTATTTTTATGTAATAATTATTAAGATATAAAAATATTACTTTCAATCTATGTATGTACATATATAAAACATTGGAGCAAGTTTTATAAGGCTAATCTAATATAAAGGATTAAAAAGGAA